TTTGGAGACATCCTGAGGGCCAAATGAATGAGGCACCTGGAAGGTCTGACACCGGGCTCTGGCTCCTAGCAGCTCCCAAGCCCTCTTCCTCACCCTTGATGTCCGTCCATTCTGTCAAGCCCCTAACTCATCCTTCAAAATCCAGCTCTTCACAATTTGTGCACAGACCTACATCAACTTCCTCGTTAGCATTTCCACACGCGGGACATGGACCATCTGGTCCCACCCAAAGGATACGAGAATGCTCCCTGGAAGAAGAGGCACTCAAAGGAACTCCAAGGGAGGGAGGGGGAAAGGAGGAGTGAGAAGGGCATTTCAGACAAAAGGAACCAGATATGTCCACGGTCAAAAAGCCAGAGAAAACATGGTGGACTAGCAGGGCTAAAATGCCAGGCAAGGGACCCGCTCTGACCACCCAGGCTACCACACACTCACCTTGCACTAGCCTGGCACTGTGCTTTTGTAGACAATTGTACCGTGTAGTTCTTTCTTTATTGCTTCTATTCCTATCTAGAATTCCAAATCCATTAGAGAAGTGCCTTCTTCATTTTATCTTTAGATCTTATCTTTCCTTGTGGGTTATTATTACTGCTAGATTCTGCATTCACAATGACAGGAATCTGGTTGTGTGATTCACTATTAAATCCCACAATAACCAATACATAATAGAAACCTGGAAATCAAGATCGTCCATAGCAGATGTTCAATGAATGAATAAACAATACCTATTATAATGGAGGAATAGACGGATGGTGGCAGCACACATGGAATAAAGGTAGACTGACACACACATACACACTTGCACACACAATGGATAAATGCAGGAACAAATGAATTGATGAATGCAGTCCTTACATGGATATAACCAAAGCCCGGAGGCCTGTGATCCCAAGCCTCCGGCTTATTAAGGCCCCGAGGTTTCTATCTCATCTTGTCCCTTGCCATTCAAAGCTCCTTTTCTTATCCCCAGCAGCTCAGCTCCCATTGTCGCCAGGGGCAGCAGGCCATCTCCCCTATACCCCTCTACCCTGAGCCCTTGAGGCTTAGCAGATTCCCAGCACTCTTTGAGGAGGTCAGCTGACCCTAGTGCCTGGCCCTCTGCTCCTGGGGAGGCGTTTGTTACAGGAGCCATCTATGGGAATTGTCAGCATTCCATTCTCCCAGAGAGTGGGATGAGAAGCCGCTCCATTTTTTATTAATTGTGAATTAATGCTATGCTGGGTGCTATTTTAGTTCATGCTTCTACAGAGTACGGAATGCAACCCAGAGCAGCACATTGCTTTCATTCCTTCTGCTGACCGACTGCGCGAGTGCAAATATTTTTAGAAACCACACCCTCTCGCAGTGGCCAGATAAATAATTTCCAGCTGAGGGAGTAGCTCAGTAGTACAGTGATTGCCTAGCATGCACAAGGCCCTGGGTTCAAACCCAGCGCGGCAAAATGATGATAGCAACCACAATAAACTTCCATTGCCACAGGTGCTTTTCTGCATATCAACATCAAGCAGGGAAGAGCCACACAGCTCAGAGCAAAACTGCAGAGTATGTGACAAGTTCAAACCAATAGCATTTGTTTCTTTTTTTGATACTGGTCCTGGGGCTTGAACTCATGACCTGGGAACTGTCCCCAAGCTTATGTGCTCATGGCTAGTGCTCTACCACTTTAGGGCCATAGCCACCATTTCTAGCTTTTCTTTTTTGTAAGCAGTTAATTGGAGATAAGAATCTCATGTACTTTCCTGCCCCCTGAGTAGCTAGGGTTACTATTATGAACCACCAACACCTGGACCAATAGCATCTTTTTGTGTGCTGGTACTGGGGCTTGCACTCAGGACTTCAAGCTCTAACTTGGCTTTTTCTACTTGAGGGTGGTACTCTTCCACTTGAGCCACAGCTTTGAGGCTGGTTAACTGGAGGTTAGACTCTCATGGACTTTTCTGCCTCAAACCTGAATCTTCAGCTCTCTGTCTCTTGAGTAGCTATAATTATAGGTGTGAGCTACCAAGGCCCAACTACCAAGGCCACAGTCCTCCACCCTTCCGGGCAGAAGATGGCCCTACATTTGGGGCACTGTATGCCTGTGAGAGGACCTTGCTGCTTATATCTGGCTGGAGGGCAGCTCATCTCTGCCCATGGACTCCTGGTCCAGGCAGAAATAGCCAGGGCTTTCTGTGTACACAAAGGCCAGCTTGTGGCCATGTGTCTGCCTGCTTCTGTCAGCAAGTGCCCTTTCTAAATATGCTTCGGCAAAACGCTGAGTCAGGAAGAGCACAGCCTATATGGCCAGAAGACAAATCAACGCCAGCTGAAACACATTTTAAAAGACCCTGGAAGTGAGTGCTAGATGATGAAAAGACAATGTGCCCGGAAGTCAAACACACGAGTTCTAATCCAGGCTCATCATTCCTTTGCTCCAAAATGAAAAGGGTTCTCGCATCCCTACTGTGTGTCACACACTAGGTGACAAGCCGGGGAGACTAAGACACAGTAATAGAGTGATCCACCACAGTCTCTCAGGCATTTCACTTGGGACAACCAAAACAAAGGGGTTGGAAAATGATCATCCCTGTTTCTCCATGCTCTCTAGGATCTGAGGCTCAGAGTGGTATTCCTTGAATAGGTAGAGAAAGGAAGAATTAATGATCGATAAAACTGGGAAGGTTTGATTTCTGTTAGGGATGTGTACACTCGTGTGTGTGTGTGTGTGTGTGTGTGTGTGTGTGTGTGTAGTTGCCTGTATAATACATAATAAAATTCTAGACTGAAGGACCTGGTATCTGGGGAGTTGTGAGGCTCAACATCACTGTCCTATTGCTTCAGCAAAAGAGCCATTCTTCCAGGAGCCTGCCCCATTATCCCCTGCACAATTGCTTTCAGAATCCTAAACCAGTCTCCTCCTCCATGAGGGAATTCTATGACTCGGCAGGAAGCTATGTGCCTTATCACTTCTGAAACGACATCATGGGACCAAGAGGTCACATTGTACCACAGAACCCAATCCCCAGGCGAGAGGCTCACATTCCAGGCCTTGTAAAGACTACATTTAGTTCTGAGGGTTCTGGGGGCAGGTGGCAGGCAGGATCAGGAGAGAAAGTCATCAGGGTTAATGACACAAACCTTTAGAAAGCCAGGACCTAATTTTCCAGTCTGGGCCTTCCTACCAAGCCTCAGAAGCCAGTACCTTCACAGGACAGCTAGCTTGCTTCTGGTTCAATTCCTTCTTCGAGGCCGGCCACTGAAGCAGGCTGCTGGGTGTAGTCATAATGATGTGCTATCTGCGTTGACTATAGTTGTTGAAAGACTTTACATTGGCTACTCATGCTCCAGGACTGCATATGGGGCACACAGTAACTGCTCAGAAAATACTCACTGCAAATAACAACAATAACAAATCCTAACAACAGGAACTGGCAGCCCTGGAAAAATGACATATGCAGAAACTAAGACAGACCAATTTATCCCCAAATCCTGCAATTAGTGAGAGACAGGATTGCAAAACAACCTCAGGCTGACTATTCAACTCCATCAAAGTAACTCCTCTTACCCTTAAACGATCACTGGGCTCACTGGCAGCTCACAAAACCAAACATGAAGAAAACCTGATTTCACCCCCAAAGCAAGCCTTTTTTCAGTTGAGGAGAATGGGATTACGTGCTTTTCCCAATGTCAAATAGCTACTTCACCATATGGCCCAGAGTTATCGAACTCTACAACCAGTGCTCCTTCTAGAAAATTCCAGCCACTTCACCAGAAAGGGAGAGTCCCTGCAACTTCACTTCTTGTTCCTCAGGAGAACTGCCTGGACCAACTATGTCCTCCTTACTCTATGGAAGACACAGAAATATGTGACCAAGGTCAACTTCTCTGCAAGAACAAGAGGTCCCGGGGTCACGGCTTCCAGGGACCTCTACAGAATGATGGAGACAAATGGTGGCTGCCTTGATCCACAAACACAATCCAAAGCCCAAAGTAATTAGAACCTTCTAAGAAAGAAAATGGTCCCATCACACACACACACACACACACACAGCAACAATACCCCCAAAGGTATGAGCTCGTTCCCATGCTTTGTCTGGGGACCAGGGATAAGCCATTCACGTCACAAGTGTCCAATTGGAGAGTTCCCACTGCTGCTGGGAGTGCTAAGGCCATTTCATAATGAAACCCATGCGGCGAGCTCCGTTTATTTTGAAACCCTATTTGCTTATTTTGCAGACGTGATCAAAAGAACATTCAGAGAGCTCCCAGGGAGGCAGTTGAACCCTGTCGGCCAGAAAAGTCTTCTCCAGCTAGAGGAGCACCCAGCAACAATACTCTCCACAAAAGTCAACTCCATCACTTGCCTTTTTCTCAATAGAAAACACCACCAATAGCTTTTTGCAGCATCTCCCACCAATACTTCAGCGGGGAGACTGGGAAATGATGGGGGGAAAAAAACAGAAAAGGAACAATACATCTAAAAGAATTTAGAGCCCTACAAGTAACTCCAGTAAACTTGGGTTGGTGAGGTACAAATCTCAACTGTCCCACTAACTTCGCCTTGGGTTACTGTGGGTAAGTTCCTTGATTTTTCTGTGTCTCAGTTTCCCTGTCGGTAAAAATGACATAAACAAAACTGTACCTATCTCACACAGTGGCTCTTAAGACAGAATTTAAGGACTGGCTACCAGGCAAACAGGATGGAAGGCTCGCAGGAAATATTTGTAAGTACTTTTATGTTATGGGAAAGGTTATGAGCTTCCTGAGGACAGAAATCTTAATCATTTCTTTTTATCCCAGCAGGAAGAATAGAATCTGGCATGCCGTAGCAGATCAATTAATGCTTGTGGAATTTAACTTTCTGAACTGGACTGAGTATAAGCAGGAAGACTCTTCTGGAACCTGCTGCCAGCAGAGGGAGGCCATTACGGCATTTCAGACTGCAGCCTTGTAAGCAAAGCCCCCACTGGGCTGGAATACCTAGACCCTGCCTATCAATCCACAAGGCCAGGGAGCTTTACCTTAATATTGCAGTTGTCATCAAGCAGTATATTTTCCAACTTCAAATCCCGGTGGACCACGCCGTTCTACAATGAGAAGACAGGAGAGCACTGAATTTGGGAGCCGCCGAAGGGATGAGAGGAGAGGGGAGAGGAAGGAGGAAACGTCTGACAGATGAAAGAAATGCCCCAGCCCTGGTGGTCTCCACCTCCATCCTTCAGGGCTGTGCTGGCTGTCAGGAAACTCCCCCACCAGCGCCCAGCGACAGGACAGCATTAGTCACTTGCTGTGTGGTTAAGGGAAAAATGACAGGAATCCCGGCTCCCCCAGAGCTTGTAGAGCAGCAGGGGGATTCTTTGTCGGGATGGGATTCTGCTGTCTGAGACAGGATTCCCAGGCCAGTGGCAGACTCAAGAGTGGGTAGCTGTCAGGCCTTGCCTGCTTTTGCCTGCCTGTACCTCCCATACTGGGGAAAGGGGCCTGGACCGATCAGTCACATGAAATGGATTCAAATCCATTCTGAGGGTAACCAGGGTACTCCTCTTAAGTAGCTGGCTGGAAAAGACTTTGAACGTTCCTTTCTTGCTCAGCATCAGCTGGGACTAAAACAGGTGACTGTGGTACTACTGTGTGACCTCATCTGGCAAGGCTGGAGGCTGAACTTGTATCTGGTTCCACGTGTATCTCTACTATTCTCTTCCTCATCCAAGCCCTTGTGATGAGCTTTGAATTCAGGAATACATAGTCTCCTAGAGGAGAGGCCTCAGCCCAAGTAACTCCAGTTTAAACACAGGGTGCTGTCTGGTTCACGTTATTACATTCCTCAGTCTCTCTTTTGTGTGTGCATGTGTACTGGCCTTGAGACCTTGTACTCTCACTTAGCTCTCCATGTCCAGCTTTTGGCAGGTTAGTTGGCGCTAAGAGTCTCACGGCCTTTTCTGCTCAGGCTGGCTTCAGCCCATGATCCTAAGATCTCCACCCCCTGAGTCGCTGGGACGGTAGGCATAAGCCACCAGCACCTGGCTACATTCCTGGTTTTCATACTAAGGTGGAATGAGTCTAAGAAAAACTTCATTCTTCCAGAATCCACTATTTCAAGTAATAAAAACATGGTCCGGGGTCCTTGGTAATGACCAAGAGGATCAACTATGACATAGCGTGTGGTCTGAGTCATGGTGGTGTACAGAGAGGTCAACTACTGCTCACATTTGGGGTTTGCTCAGCACTTGGGATTTGAGCAATGACCGTTTTCTTCTTTCTAGTTTGCAAAAATCCCCACACATACTACAAAGAACAGAGTTCACTTTTCTAATAGGAAAAGCATCACAGGGCGCCCTGGGAACCAACTGTGGTGGGAGCTACGGGCCAGGCAGGGTGATACCTTGTGACAGTAATGCACGGCGGAGACTATCTGCCGGAAGAAGTGTCTGGTCTCCCTCTCGCTGAGGCGTCGCCGCTCGCTGATGTAATCGTACAGCTCCCCTTTGCTGGCATATTCCATGATGATCACAATCTTATCTTTGTTCTCAAACACTGGAAGGTAGGGGAGAGGGGGACAATCAACAAGGATCCTGTTAACCCAGCAAGTTCAACTCATGAAAGATGATGGAGACATCAGAGCAGGTGGCCATAGGGGACGAACCGCTTCTGAGGGATGAAGGCACAGATGGGCGTATTCCCCAACCCGAGGCCTTGGACAAAGTCTCCAGATGTCCGCACCGTTATGGTGACTGGAAGTCACTGCAGGAAATGCAATTCTTTTCTGACTACCTTTGCCAAGGTCATTTCTCCTCTCTTCCCATCAGTCCAGCTCTCCTATGCATCAGATAGCGGGCAATAATCAAATACAATGATCATTTAGTGCCTGTTTGGTTGTGGGTATTTTGTGAAGTTTTTTTGGTCCTCTCTTTTGGAGGAAAGGTTGAACTAGAGCATCGTGCCTCCTAGACAAGTGCTCTACCATTTGAACCACATCCCACCTCTGGTCCTTTTAGTTTGCTTCAAGATAAGATTTTCTGCTTTGGCTTGACCATGATCCTCCTACCTCTACCTTCTGAGTAGCTGGGATTACAAACATGAGCCATTAAGCCTGGCCATCTATTAAGCATCTGACATAGTCAGGTCGATGACAGATCTATTGTGACTCTAAAACGAGTACCTGATTTTGGCATCTCGCTGCTCAAAGCTATCCAGAATTCCCATCTCACTTAAAATAGAACCATTGTTTCTTAATGTGGTCCATCAAGTCCTGTACATGGGCCCTTCTTTGCCTGATTTCACTTCCATTCTGTGAATTCATTTACCATGTCTCCCTGACTCAAATGTAAATTAGGGCTGGTCTATAACACCCGCTGATGTATGACCAAACAGAATGGTATATGGCATATTGGAAGAGCTTAATTATTTATTAAATGAGGAAACTCAAACTTGAATGCATATTAGACAATAATAACCCATCACATAGCACTTCTTGTGCACCAGGCTCATAAAGATATACAAACTCATTTAAACCTCACACTTCATTGTGCCACTTGAAAAAAAAAAATGAGGAAACTGAAGCCTGTAGAGATTATGACCTCCAGTTAGGCTCCAAAACTATTGGCTGCTTCTTACAATCACATACACACACATCTGCACACTCACACACATGCACACATGAATATCCACACTTATATGCACACACACATACACACACACACACACACACACACACACACACACACACACACACACACAGCTGTTTCCCACCTACCTGCTCTCCTCTTTGCCCTCACCTACCTGTCATGGAAACTAACTCACAGGTTGTCCTGGACTGCACTTTTATATCTCTCACCAGTTGATACTTAGCTCACAGTACTTGCTAATAGTGCCAACTTCATTCCTACATTATATGTCCACTTCCCCAGCCTGGACTGTGAACCAAGACTGGAAACCTTCATTTGTGAACCAGATATTCCTAAGTAGGATTCCTAGCTCTGTCCCTTTCTTAATGGCCATGTGATATTGAGTTCCCGCTCTGGGCCTCAGTTTATACAACTATAAAATGTGAGTGGAATTCCTAGGTCCTCCTTGGAGTGCTTGGGGAGAATTACTGACTGCAGGCGAGGTAAGTGTTTACAGCAAAGCCAGCTCATACTCGATAATGTTAACAATTACTGCTGATGTCAGTATTATTAGACACACAATGGGGACAGAAATAGACACATGATACTCACTGAGAACTGACTGGAACTGGGACCCGTCCCAGGCTTGGGTCCCCTGTCCTCCCCCACATTGTCACTGGTTACTAGAAGCTCAGCAACCCACCCCACACCTCCCACCACACACACACACACCCCTCTCTCTCCCCACTCCAGTTCTTCTTTGGCTCCTTCAAGTCCAGCCAAACCCCTCTGATAAAATGAAGGAGGAAAGGCAGGCAAGAGGAGGAGGGACTGCCAGATAAAACTGGCTGCCCCTGTGTCTGCTGGCCTCGCTGTACCCTGCTGCTTCGGCTCCCACCAGGAGTTAGCTTGGTGTGGACTTTGCATTAACAGCAAACTTTAGAAACTGGAAAGGATGCCTTGGGATGTGTGGCTCCGGCTCCAAACTTGGAGTGATGCACCCTGGGGAAGCAGCAGGTTTGCTCACTTTAAGTGGGACTAGAACAAGGGAGGTAGAAACAAAGACCTCACACCCCCCAGAGTGTGGCCCATCCTTAAAAGGAACCATTGACCTGTCATAAAAGGTGGAGTCACTTGCTCACATAGACACAAGGACTGTTCCAGCGATGGGATTTTCCTCTTCCCAACTGGTTGACTTGCCACCATGGAGACAGACAGGCAGGGAACAATCTAGTTCTATTCAGCCCAATACAACCAACTCTTTCCCATGTGGCTTCCATCAGGAAGGTCTAGTAGAGACTCCCTCTAAAACACATCACAAGTCCATGCACCTGCATCTTCTCTACAAGCCCGGCAGGTGGGTCTTCACCTCCTCTCTCACCACTGTGCTGACTGGATTGTGTGAGGGCTCTGCACAGCACCACAGGCACATTCTCCAGAACATTCCCCACAAAGCCATCTGGAGGAGAAAGTGTGCCATGACCAGACACAGGTAGGATGTTTGGAAAGTGCCAAGTCCTGTACATGACCGCCCTTGGACAGCTAGTCCTTCACTCAGTTCTACAGGTAACCTGGGCCACATCACATTCCTGCTGACACCAAGAACAAATCTGGACTCAGCCTGGGAAATCCTGGATGAATGAAAGGACACCTGAGTGATTTAAAAAAAAAAAAATCACCTCTCATCATCATGGCTGAGCAGCCTGATCAGAGAATTGAATCAGCCAAGCCTGGCTCTGGGACACCACCTGTCACCCTCGCAGGAAGGAACACAGTCTCATAATCATAACCCTACATGTAACCTGGCAGGACCTAAATGTAGATGCTGCGTTCTAGACCGGAAGCAAGAGGATTCGTCAAGGAGGCTATGTGAGATTTGAGGTGTTCTTGAGCTCTTCCTTAACGTCAGTAACACATATTACAGGCCTACTATGTTCCAGCTCTGGGAGAAGAAGCTGACTGGGTGCAGCTAAGTTCACCATAATTACCATGGTCACAGAGGCACAGGCTGTGCCAGAACTGGTCTCGGACAATCTGATGGCAGACTCCCAACTCTCAGCCCTTCTATTACCATTCCACAGACAACAATCAATCTCCTCACCAAGCTAATGAGGCTAAAACTTTCCAAACACAGGGAGCTCGCCATCAGCGCAGTGCCTTGGCCAGTGCTCAATACACAGAAGCTATTCTCATCATTCCTTCACCTGCCTCTAGGGCAAAACAAAATCCTAAGAGTTCTCCTTGCCAGCCAGCATCCTTTGAAACATGCCACGCATGTTGCAGAACCACAGCGTTTTCACGTAGGAAGGGACTAGTGATTATACTTTTTCCAGAATAGCCCAGGATGTTAATGTATAAGAGCAACGCCTTGGGAACTCGCACTGAAGAATAACCAGCTTCTGATCCTTCAGCCCAGAGCTCCCTGCCCGTGGCTCAGGCCACTGTTAGCCAGCGAGGTGGTAGGAACACTCTTAGCCATTCTTCTGGCAAAATGGGCCCCTTCCCTCGGGCACTTTTACAACTGGTTATTTATAAGCCCAGAAGTCTTGTCTGTGTTTATGTTATTAGTCACTAAGCAAAAGCCTATTTTCCACCACTTGGGAAGGGTTTCCTTTCTGAAAAATGAAAGCTTGTGTCTCTTGGCCAGACAGCTTTACCCAGAAGGTCAGTGGCTCTAGATTGGTAAGGAAAACTATGGCCCTTGACATATCAAGCCTACCAGGAAACTGAATGCCATGAATAGAAACTTAGCTCAGCCTGGACAGCCCACAGCACTGGGCCAAGGCCCATGTGGCCCAAAGCCGAAAAGCAACGATGTTTCATTAAGCATCTACTGTGTGGATGCCATTGGGGAATCATGAAAGAAGACCACCAGTCAAGAGAAGGAGGGAAGGAGTTGGAGGAGAACTACCAGCCACTTCCAGATGCCAAGGAAGAAAAGAACAACAAGAGGGCAATAGATGACACACCAAGACCTTGGAATGCCCTCTAGGAGATACTGGACCATCAGACAGGTGACCAAACATTTCCAAGAACAATCCAAAAGATGGAAAAACAAGAGCCAGGGTGGTATCCGAGATCCTACATCTATTCAGGGCTCACGTCTCCCCAAGAGACATTTCAGACAGTGAATACATTGAACGTCAGCCAGAAACTTTGTCAAATTTTGCCATTTTGGAATTTAAAAAGAAACAGAACATACAGTATAAACTCTCTGTGACTGGCTCCAACAGTCCAACGTTTATGAGAATAATCCATCTAGTCCCATGTAGTTGAAGATAGTTCATTATCACAGCTGTAGATTATTCCACTATGTGATTCTATCTTGATTTGTTCAACCACTGGACTGCTGACTTGACATTTGAGCTGTGTGTATCTGAAGAGTCATTATGAAGAGTACTGTCATGAGCAATACTCATGCATCTCTACAGTTGCTGTTGCTAGGGTTTTTAGCCAGCACAGTAGTGCATGTCTGTAATCCCAGCTACTCAGGAGACAGAAGGACTTCAGTTCTGAGTTTAGCCAGGCAAAAAGTTCAAAGCCCTGTCGGAAAGACAAACTAAAAAACCAAAAGGAGCAGACGTGTGGCCCACAGGACCAGCCTAGCACGTGTGAGGCCCTGAGTTCAATCCCAGGATGCAAAAAAAAAAAAAGTCAATGTTTTTCCCACAACTCTCCAGCACCCATTTTCCCTCCTTGCACTGTCCTCTGTGAAGATTCTCCTTGCCTAAAACACTCCATAGCCTTTTCTGAAGAATGCCTTTTTATCAGCCTACTTGAAGCTTTGAGCATTTTTCTGTGTGTCACAGCAGATACAAAAGCAGCAGAAGACACAGTCTTCACTCTCAAGGAGTTGGTTCTTAGTTGGAAATGACTAGAATACAGGATCCTACCCATGTATTCCAGACTTCTAGTGTACCTAGATGATCA